GGTTTTTTTTTCGCCAAAAAGTCCCTGATGCCGCCATGAAATCTCTAAGCTAAGGCAGCTGCATACACAAGTTTTCTCTCTCTCTCTCTCTCTCTCTCTCTATATTATATATTATTATATATATATATATATATATTATACTATATCATTATATATATATATATATATATATATATATATAGAGTTAAAACTAGTGTCAACTTAAGTGGACGTTCCACTAAGTTCCTATAACCATTGATGATCACGGGTGATTGAGCTACTTTGTGGATGATCCGCTCGTTGAACTTGATCCCACTATATCTAAAACCCAAACAACACCCAATATTTTGGTGTGGAACCGTCGTTGTTTGACCTCCTCCGTCGAGCCATGTAAAAAAGTTCTATTCATTTGAAACCGTTAAAACTTGATACGCAGTGGATGGAAGGGTCAAACGCACTGCACGGATTCCAACCCAAATGTTGGCGTTGTTGGGTTTTAGAAATATGTAGATCAAGTTCAAACCGGAGGGATCATTCACAAAAGTAGCTCAATCAAGTATGGATTAATGCGCTCTAAGAAAACTTATGGCGACGTCCACTTAAGTGACACAAGTTTTACTCTACTATATATAATTATATATATATATATATATATATATATATATGAAAAATGGGTATGCTTGGTATCAAACATAAATTTTATGTTTGGTAGTGAGGTGTCATATTCTCATCCACTCATTTCAATTCTCAATCACTCCCCAACCCATGTGAATGTGGGCCCCGATTTTAATAAGTGGAGGAAAATATGTCACATCATTACCAAGCACAAAAACTTATGATTGATACTAAGTATACCCATCTCTCCACACACAGCCAATGATCGATGTATTCGAAGGCAAATCTTCAGTATACAGCCAATTTGATGTAGCTCTTACGCATTTTCTCCTTCCAAGTGAAAAGTAGAAACCCAATAATGAAAGCGCTTGCTCGATCATTATATAAGTAGTACCTAAGTGAACGATGGATGGTGCATTTACTGTTGAAAACTGATGGAAAATAGATAAATTAAACAAGTCTTCAGCAACAATAAAAAAGAGAACCCCTTGTAAATATATAGAAAACGTTAGAATGAAAAAACAAGAAGATTAAATTACGTACGTAACGCAAATGTGAACGCGCAAGTCCTTTTACTTTCAACAAACAGGATCATCTTATTGAGACAAACATGTGCCAAAAGATATGACACATGTACATTTTTTACTCACTTTTGCCTAATTGGTAGTTGTCACGCCCTGGTTCCAAAATGTAATAACTTAGAATGTGACTCGGCCGGCAATACAACCATTCGACCATATTCACGCTTCTAGGTCATCCTATATATAGATATAAAGTCAAAAGTATACCATAGAGCATATAACTAAGACAATAAAAGAAATATATAGATGAAAAAATCTGCAAAAGGACGAAATCCAACTACGAGTCCACAACTATCCACAAAGGGTAAGGGTAATAAAAAAATTTACATCATAGTCTAGAAAAAAAAGTCACATATGACTCAAGAAAAAGTCTAAACCAAATAACTACCTAAACCAACTAAACTGATGGACTAAAAGGTGATCACTGTCGCTGGACTTGCTCCTCAAAATATTCTCGATCCTGCGAAGAAAGAACAGTTCCCAAGTCTTGGGTGCGCAAACCCCAGGGGAGTCAGAAAACTCCCAACAATCATATAAAATGAGGAAATTATGTGCGGGTAAATGTATGTAGCAGGTATAAAGAAAAGATGAAATCTAAATTAAATGTGACTAAAAGAAATGCTACTTGTAGATATTCCGAATAAATCTATCACAAAGCATATAAGCACATTATTCTTATTTTACATGTTATTTGAATTAGAGGAGAATAGTCTCATATATATAAATCGATTCCCCGTAAACCGTCTCGGGAACACGGCTTCAAGTCAAGTATTAGCTCTTGGCTCTTATATATATAACTCAAGATATCAGGAATGCGCATGAGCCCGCTTATATACATTTTATATTCTCCGTCCAATTCCTCTTTATTAAATCTCATATTTGTCTGTTTAATTTAAGTGATTGTGCATGAAATATTATGCATTAACCACAGAGTTACCGTGTAACGGTTTTCGTAAAACTATGAAAAATAATCGTGACCCAAGAACATGTCCAATCAAGATGGGTGCATAATTTAGTCGATGCTATTATATAATAGTAATAATCAAGAGAAAATCCTCACACACTGATATCGATGTTGAGGGTGTAACCATGCTGTGATAGCACGCTTATAAATCATATTTTTGACGGAAGTCGTCTTCATGCACAGTCGGCCCTATTTAGTGTTACTATATGATCAAACATTATCAGATGATCAAACATGTCATCAAGTGATTAAACATGTCCTCATTCAACTAAACAAAAAGGGAAAATAAATAAAAAAATAAAATGGGTCAAACAATTTTGGTTTGATAACCTAAAGATCCACAAAACTGATATTTGTGAATTAATGCCCCAATTGGGTCTATAATTTGAGTTATAGACCCAAACGGGTCTGATTGTTAATAATGGATCCTGACCGGGTCGGGTTTGACTTCAAAATAGACCCGAACACAAATTTGGCATAAAAAGAAGGGTCATGGGATTTTAACCCATGACTAGAGACATAATATGCAAGTCAACTAACGGCCATGCCAAAGGCATTTTCAAGATAGAGGCATTTTCATGACAATTTGCCTTCCGTATATATAAATATATCTACTAACAATTTAAGAAAAAGTAAAAAGAGTATTAAGATATTTGAACACCTCGACTTACTACCTAAAATAAATTAATTTAGCAAAAATTCAAGAATAAACGGAAGAATTGAAAAGAAAACTGTAAGTTAGATAAATTTTATTAAAAACAATTTTTTGTTAGAAACCCCTTGGAAAGCTTAATTAAAAGTAGTTTGTTTTGTTTAGTAACTAAAAATTTCTGCAACAGTACCTAAGAAAAATCAATTTCTTATTCCAGTAATACTAGTATTTAAGAAAGATATAATTTAAAAGACGTCGGATACATCTCTAGAAAAGTTTATATGTACTAGAATTTCTTAAATAAATAAATAAAAATAGTAGTATACCAGAAAGTGAAAAATACTACTCATAGGCTAAGAATTATAGGCTTACGTAAACGGTATGCTTTCATCAATCCAACTAAGTTTGCATAATAAATTATTTCAATTTTTAAAATACTTATTAAGTAAATGGGTATAAAGTAAGTGAATTATTTGCAACTCTGGTATCTTGAAAGAAATGGGAAGTCAATTTATGTCAAAAATAAAAATCGTATACCACCAAGAACACTAATAGTATATAGAGACCAAGAACCCATAATGGTAAGCATTTAATCCATATCTAAGATATAACAAAAAAATTAAATAAATAAGAATTCGTGCAAGAAGTCTTGGCATGAAATCTCTAGCAGACTGAATCCTACACTTTACCCCTTAATTCATAAAGTAACAGGAAATTTCATGGCTATGCAAGAATTTCAAGGTAGCAATAGATAGTGACATAAAAGTTAAAAGAGGAGAAGGAAAATATTATGCTTGCATGAAGGAAAAAAAATTTAGAGAGAAAAACAAAATTAGGAAAAGATATGCTTGCCGATTAACGCCAAAAGCGTAAACACCAAGCAAGCTCCTTCTCTACCCCTCCTCAAAGCTTCAGTCGTTGTTCTCTTTCTTATTTGTGTTTTATTTTTCTGTGTAGTTTTTGGGGCAAGGATGGCGGAGGAGAGGAGATAGGTTTTTAAAGAAAAGTTATGATTAGAATATCCCTAAGACTAAGGAATATTTAAGTAGTGGCAAACGGGTAGCTGCAAAAGAAAACTGCAGAAGATCCCACGATTTGATTTGGGAGAAAAAGTCACGGAGGTTGTGGGAGATGTTTCCGAAACTCACTCTC